TGGGGGGGGGCTGGTGGCTGGAGCAGCGATCTTGCCACGTGCCTGAAGGCCAAGCTTGGCTGCGGGGAAGAGAGATGGGATGAGGCCAGGGCTTGGGCAGAGCCCTGGCATGAGGCACAACGGCACCGGGGAGGGATGTGGTGACTGCGAGCAGCGTGGCTGGGATGGATTGGGCCCGAGACAGGACACCTGCGTCAGGGTGGACCCTGCTGGGGGGGCTCTGTGGTGGAAAGATAGGCCACGGATGGGTCCTGGTTCCCACGCCCTTGGGTGCTGCTTGGGGCAGCTCAGCCTCTGCTACTGGGTCCTGTCCTGTGGCGATAAAGCCCTGCAGCAAGGAGCAGCAGCGGCCCCAGGCAGCAGTGCAGGATGCCCAGGGCTTGGCAGAGCCCCAGCATGAGGTCGAACTGCTCGAAGGTGCTGCAGCTGAGCTGCAGCAGCTGGGCTTGCAGCAGGAAGTCCACGGCGAGCCCCACACTGTAGGGCGCCCAGAGGCCAAAGAAGAGCCAGAGCATGCAGGTCCCCGGCTCCCAGCCCTTCCGGAGCCGCGGCATGGCCAGTGAGCCCAGGGCCAGGGCTGCTGGGAGCAGCAGGAAGAGGCTGAGGCAGAGGATGAGATGGGCCAGGTACACCCCGGAGAGGATTTCCACGTTCCGGAGGATGCAGACCACCTCTGGCGCCGCCACCGTGCCGCTGGTGAAGGCAGCTGGGGTTGCCAGCAGCAGAGCTCCCAGCCACACCACCACGGCCAGCCGCCGGCCCCGGGGGGCCCAGCGGCCCTGGGCAAAGAGGCTCCAGTGCCACAGCACATGGGCGAGCTTGCACAGCCCTGGCCCCAGGTGCCAGCCGTGCTGGATGCCTGCAGCGAAGGAAGGCAGCAAGAGGGTGAAGAGGCCGGTGCCAACCATCAGCTGAGCCACCAAGGCTTTGCGGTGGGGCTGGCTCCATATGTGGGGGCACTTGGCCAAGGCCACTAGCAGTGCCCCGTTGCTGAGGGCCGCCAAGGTGCAGGCTATGGCCAGGAAGACGGGGGCCGTGCTCTGGAAGATGAGGCAGTATTGGTTGTGGCAGGGCTTGACGTTGGCATAGTCCAAACTGCTGAGGTACTCCTCGCTGTAGGAGAGATTTTCCATGATGTCTGTGAAATCCAAGGAGGTCTCGTTCACCAGGACACTGGGGGTCTACAAAAGAGACAAGCAGGCATCACGCACGGAAACCCTTGCTCAGCCCGGCGGATGTGCTGGGGGATGCGGCCGGCCGAAGGCACAGCCGAGCACAGCCCTGTCCCCGAGCACAGCCCTGTGGGATCCCCTAAAGTGTCCCCTCCCTCTCCAGCAAAGGCTTTTTGGCTCCCTTTTCCTCTCCTGTTCTGGAGCTCTGTTCCCACCTCCGTGCTGCTGAGCGGTTTCGTGACACCTTGGAGCCCGGCTGTGCATGACCACTGGCACGTCGCTGCTGCCTGCAACCGCCCCGCCAGGGCACCACCGAGCTCGCACCCTTTTCATGGAGAAACAGGGCTCTCTGTTATCAGGAGCCGAGCCCAGTGCAGCCAGGACAGGGCAAAGCTGGGTCTCTGCTCCGGTGCAACACACATCGCAGCATAAATGAGGATGGCAGGGAGCTGTGGGCATCTCTGGTGCAGCCGCTGTGGCTAACTGCACTGGCAAACACTATTTTTGCAATGCTGCCTTCCAGCCAGGCTGCAGCCAGCTAATGGAGATTTCTTTACAGCTGTTGCACAGTTAGCAGTGAGTTGATTATCAGGGAGAGACACTCCGCTTGGGAGAGGGCGCAAGGACGGGGGGGCCAGCCTGGGGCTGATACTTCCTCCAGTGCCAGCGCCTGGAGGAGGGAGCAGAGCCCTGGCTGCGCCTAGAGCATAAAAGCCACAAGTTTCTTATAGCTTCAGAGAGGTGAGTTGAGATAGACCCTCTGCAGGGCTTGCCAGGGGTTGGCACCAGTTTTCCCAGGGATTTTGTGCATTTTGGGGAGGTCGACGGCCTCTGGGGATGTGGGAGCCCATCCCCTCAGGGAAGGTAATTCATAGCTTGGAAATCCTCGTGCAAACGTCACTGCGGAGCTCTGCTGGTATTAGTATCCGCTCAAGCCTTAATGCCTTTATCTGTAAAGGCTGCCAGGCACTGCTGCCAGGCACTGCTGTGTCCTTTAGACTCTTGACAAGCCTTTCAGGGCTGATGTGCAAAGCAACCTGTTTTTACTGTCCTGAAGGCAACTCCAGGCGCTTCTCAGTGACTGAGAGCAGCTGGGACTCTGCAAGTTGCTTTGCTGTGAACTGCTGGATGGGGGGGACATGCTTCCCTGGCACTGGGCTGCTGACAGCCATGCTCTCACTGCCTGCCGCCGCCCTTCCTGAGAGCTGGCCTCTTCCTCAGGGTCATAGCACAAACTCCACAAGGGCTGGGTGCAAATCCCGCAAGGGCTGGGGCAGACCCCAATGGCTGGGTGCAAACCCCCAGTGGCTGGATGGAAACCCCACAGTGGCTGGGTACAGACCTCACAGTGGCTGAGTGCAAACCCCAGTGGCTAGACGCAAGCCCCACAGCAGCTGGGTGCAAACACTCAATGGCTAGATGCACATCCCAGAGCAGCTGGGTACAGACCCTGCAGTGACTGGGTGCAAACCCCACAGCGGCTGGGTGCAAACCCCATCCTAGTTTCCCAGAGATGCCAGCTCAGTGCTGCTCTCCTGCTCACTGCCCTGCGCACCCCTTGGTGGGAGGTGGATGACAGGTCAGTGCAGGGTGCCCTATGTTGGGAACTTGGTCCTCCAGAGTCCCTGGAGACTGCTGAAAGGATCTCGGGGAGCACTGGAAGAACTAGGAGAGATGGAGGCGACCAGCAAGTACGGAGGGGTGGCTCATGTATGGGAGAGAAAGGCACAGAGAAAGGGGTCCCTTGGAGCCCTTGGGGTTGGGGGGGCGACAGGAGGGAGGTCAGCACAACTGCTGATGGAAGGAGAAGGGGAATGGGGGAAGGAGGAAAACTGGAAATGGAGACCCATTACAGGAGGTGGTTTTCTCTGAACTGAAACGTCTCAAAATGCTCCTCTAATGGGACGGTTCTGGGCAATGCTGACCCCATGCTCAGGCTCTTGGACCACATTTCTCTTAGCTGCCCAGAGCGCAGGGCAGAGGCGAGAGCCTGGCACCTGCATGCAAGGGGAGCATGTAGCGTTGCTGCGGAGGCTTGTGCGCAGCCCCTGCTTCTGGCCACTTGCTCCCAGCAGGATAGAAAAGAGCTTGAGAGAGAGGAAGCAGGGAAAAGGGGGGTACACTTACCACAGGGATGCAGTTGCCCATAATGTCCTTGTCCCAGGATCAGCACGTGTCTTCTGCGTTTCGGCGCTGTACACAATGGTGCGCACTCAGCAACACGTGCTCCCCACAGGGTGCTTTGCACGACGGTGCACACTCGGCTGTGCGCGCTCTCCGACGGTAGTGTTGCACAACGGTGCGCTCTCAGATGTGTGTGCTCGTGGTCGGACACTGCACGGCGGTGCACGCTCTGCATGCGCTTGCTCACTCTCTGCAGGACTGCAGTAGGCTCTACTTCTTTTCCTCCAAGAGGAGGTGAATGACTGCGTTAACAAGATAAGAGCTGGCTTTTTAATAACAAGCCTTTTGCCTTGGCAACCCCCTTTGCCATAGAGTGAAGGAAACGGGTGGGCCAGCATTGCCGGTAAAAAATGAGAAGCCAGCATGTCTGAATTTCTAGGGCAGGAAGCAATCATTTCTTGGCAGAACACCCCAGATTAATTAGGAATTGTATTTACAGGTGTCTATGTAGACAGTCAAATTCCTGGCCCTGACACAGCCACGTATGGAGGCCTGTCATGCTCATCACGTTGGAGGATCCACTTACAAGCGAGCCCTCCTGCAGGGACTGCTCTGTCCCACTGCCCTGGTGCTGCTGGTGGGGGGGGGGGGCCTTTTGAAAAACGGGGCGATC